TATATTACTCTAATAAAAATATTTGAATTAGGAAATAGGTTGGCAGTTTAAACTATTACGCAAATAATCTCTTTAATTAAGTGTTCCAAACTGCCACTTGAAAGCATCTTTTAGATTCTTGGATCCACAAATTTTCGGCCCTTTGACCACAAAGAGAGGAAATAAACTATTTTACGCAAAAATTAAGTGTTATAGTGCACCGACCATATCCAAATAATAAAGCATAACAAAATCACATTTTAATAGGTAGTTGTGTTATTTCATTTGGCAGCTCAGATAGTCAGATACCTTTGGAAAAGGAAAAACTTATGACTTTGTTAGAGTTGGATTCGGCTCAACTACATTCACTTATATTATACTATGTGCTAGTATTTAATGAATATTACAATAAATGATATTGATTTTAACATAACATGATTATATTAGTGGGAGTGACTAAAGTCCCGTTGACGGAATGGTTTCGTCAATATTTGTTACCATAAATTATATTTACAGTTGTATTCAATGGTGAAAAACACTGACGGAACAATCCCGGACCTAATCTTAGCATTTTCCTTAATTAGTATACAGCTTGATGTTCTATTATGTTTGCTTTATGAATTATGATAAGATAATTAAACTAGACAATTAGATCACGAACACTGAAAATAGGATGATTTTCCAATAATTATATTTTTTTTTATATAGGGATTAGGGTTACCCAGAGGGTCAAGCTTTTTAGGATAGAACAAAACCATAATATTGACAATAATATAATATTATTGATCCGATGTTCTTTTGAGATTTGAAAATAAATGTTCTTTTGAGATTTGAAAATAATGCGATTTCGAGGAAATTGTTATTGGGTGCTAAAGAGCCATAACATTAAGGTAAGTAAGCTTTTTACCCACTTGAACTATCACTTCACTTACGCAAAGTAGTTTTGAGTAAAGTATTTGTTATTTAGTATTTTTCCATAGTTATGGTAGAAATGTAAACATAATATATTGAAATAAATCATTCAGTTTCATCAAAGGATAATTTGAAGCTAGTCCTAAGAAAAATTCGATCTTATTGGTATGAGCAAGTATTTTATCATTGGATCACACACCCACTCACATTGATGTGTGTTGATCCAACGGTAAAAAAAAAAAAAAAAAAAAAAAAAAAAAAAAAAAAAAAAAAAAAAAAAAAAAAAAAAANAAGTAAGAATTTTCCCCAACTTTATGCACATGCGATTTTCCGTTCATTCTAATTGATTTACTGAGATACCAAAGAGGCAGCATTAGTTACATGCATCAGTTACTTAAGCTAGAATAACGACGTAGCAGCGAAATTACTCAACTCGTTATTATCCGTATCAGTGATCAATCTTATAAAATAGGTTAATTACCAACCAACAACGAAAATCTGAAAACAAGTAAGAGATTAACTTCCAGTTTTACACTCTTTCATTGAATAGATAGCAAATCTAGTGTAAGTTCTTAGCAAGCAACACCATTTGGACAACATATTTCAACATCAGTAGGAAGGGTAGTTCTGGCAAAGGGAGAATAACAACAACAGAAAAAACGAAAATCAAGCTCAATACCAATTCATCTTAGATTCATGACACATTCTTCACCTCATGTAAATCGGTTCGTCACAAAATGTCAAGTATGTCGAATTACAAACGCAAACTCATAAACAGAGCAAATCAAAAGCTCAAATCCCTAACTGTCGTCGATTCATCTAAATCCATCCTCTCACTTATGCAACTTGTTTCCGATCAAAACAAACGCAAAAGTTCACAGAACACTAGTGCACAAAACTTTCACGGCTAAGAAAAAAAAGGAAAATCACTCTGACGATTCACTCCACCTATTTCTCGCAAAATCACATGCATTTTCCATCTCCAACCCACTTCATTTCGATTTTCCACATAAACAAAAAACATAATTAAATAAAATCTAGAGGTTCTAAAAAGATGCGAAAATGAGAGCACCTTCCTCAGGTGGCGCCACTGGAATGGTGAGACGCGGTCCATGTTCAACATAGCTTCTTCTGCGTCAAACTCACGGCGACTTATTTTGAGAGCGATTCAAACTTTCCACGTGATTTCAGAGGGTAGACGAAGAGTCGCTGAGTGATAAAATTTGTTTCTCCGACTCTTAAAACTGTACTTCTACGGGAAGGTGGGCCTTTTTAGGAGTTTTGGGATATTTTTAGGGACATTTAGGGAAGAGAGAAATATACATGTTGGCGGGAATGAGGTGATCTTTTAGACTCCGATTATCCATCGGTGCTCTTGGGAATGAGCTGAAATCAAAGCCCAACCATAGACCTATTAAACAAAATGAGCAGCTTGTGAGCTCAGTTTAACTCGAACTTATTTAGTTACATGACGAGTTATTAAAGCTTAAAGTTATTTTCTTTATAGAATTTCTATAGTTTGGCTGGTTAAAATTTGAGTTTGTCTCATTAAGGTCCCTACTTTTTATGTCTTTTAATCTCATAGGGGGTACAACAGCTCCTGTAGTGAGGTATTGTAATGTAGTATTTGTTGTCTAAAATTGTCCTTGCAGCCCCTTTCACCATCTCTGATTCAGGATGGCCATAAAAAAGGGGTCCCCTTCCCCACGGAAGGCCAACATCCTTTTGTCAGGAATGGAACAAACATTTCTCATTCTTAGTTCGCCTGCTAGTCAATTGCTGAATCCTGATTTAAACATCTAACTCAGTTCGTTAACTAGTCGAGCTCGAGCTTAATTATTGACTCAACTCGTCTCGTTAAAGGCTCAAATTCAAGCCCGTCATGACTGGTTTACACCCCTAATAGCCCAAAAGAGTTGGGATGTTAATTTTAGATCATTTTCTCTTTTTACAGGTTAATCTCGCGCAGGGCCGGCCCTAGGGTAGGACAGGCCATGCGACTGCCCAGGGCCCCCTCTTACCCCAGGGTCCACTTTTATATATTAAATATATATATATATATATATTAATTATATAATAAATATTGAATACAAAATTAATCTTAAGTTTTAATTTTTCTATTCTTGTTTTTTTCCACCTTCTAAATGTCATGACATAATTAAATAGTAGTTATTATTAGTGAAATTATTTTATTTTAAATATTTTCCTTTATTCTTTTAATACTTTGTTAATTTTTTCTTCTTGCTTGAATATACAAAATGTTATTTTATGACTGCACATTTAATCATGTTAGTAATAGCCAATAAAAGAGTTAAGTGAAGTCAACTCATTTTCAGACGAGTTTCAATTAGATTTGTTATTTAACTTTGTTAAATATAAAATAAAATCTAATACTTTTCAATAAAAAAATCTATATAGCTATAACTAAGTATTATGTACTTCACTAAACTTAAGTCATATTTAAAGTAAATGAAGTTTGGAGCTTTGATTGCTTATTATTTTTTTTTTTTTGAATAAAAAGGATGTTCTCTTTTTTTATTTGTGATTCTTACTATATTTCTCAAATATTATTTATAAATTATAGTTTTATTTTTATTTCAAATTCATTACTTTTATTATTGCGAGGTACACTATTTTTTTTTATTAACTTAAAAAAATAAAAACAACTAAATGTAACATTTGTCACATTTCACTCAGAGCCTTATAAAGTTCAGGACCGACTCTGATCTCGAGTCTTATTAAAAGCTTGGACAATAATAAAGCTTAGTTAATTTGTTTAAAAGTTAGCAGATTGATTTAAATTAACGGATCAAACTTTATTTAGAGGTTCGACTAGTTCATTTAGAGTAAAAACTTATTTGATTAATCTTTTTTAATCAAAACGCTAATCTTGAAAAAGAACATTTTTTTATAGAGATGATTTATCTAATGACATGGCAAGATGGGATTTTTAAAACAACTACACAGTTTGCCAAACACAAATTCACGTAACCGCTAGTACAATATATTAATCAAATTAGTCATTCCAATCTACTATCCAAACTCGTATAGAAAGCTATCAATTAATAGCTAAATATGTTTTTCAAATTTACAAAATCTTTTAGAATTACATGAAAAAAAATAAAAGAAAAAATCAGAACCCCTTCTTCAAAGTTAAAAAAAAAAATCAAACTGCATGTGTATTGATGAAAAAAAAGGAATGTACGCGGTTGAAAAAAGGGTGAAACACGAGGCAATCAAAACATGGCCATTTAAAAAGTTCAACTGTGGTCTAGGGCTTCAGCTTCAGCGGCAAAGACAATCGACGAGGGCGGCGTCACTGACTCTACAAATTGAAATAATAAAAGAAAAATATTATTTTATCCAAATATTTAACACATTTAGTTAGGCGTGAGCTCCAAACTTGTAAATTCGCCCACTTGGATGACCCGATATAAACCAATGGCTGTACAAATATTTGTTTGGTCGATGATTGAAAAACAACATTTTTCTATACATGCGAGAATAGAATCAAAATAGTCATTTTATATGAGTTTTTCGCTTGGAATCCATACTCGGCCTAAAATTGTAATTTAATCGAATATTAAACAACTTTTTTCACCTTTTTATTTTACCTTCTCAAATGATACATATTTTTTAAAAGTTGTCTATATCCACTCGCTGAAAAAAAAAAAGTTACTCAAAAAATTAAGATAAATTTGAGTTTGAAAGTGTATGAGAAAAAAATGTAATGACTAAAATTTAAATATAATACAATATTAAATAATAAAAATTGTACTTATAGAATATACGACTTTATGAATTGTATGTTTTTATTCACTAGTATATTATTTTACCACTTTTTATTTTTTATTAGTTGTTTTAGTGGAATTTGTAGATAAAAAACAAGATCAAATAAATAATATAATTTTATAATTTTTCTTTTGTTTTAAATTATGTGCGAAAAAAAAAAACTTGCATCCAATCTATAAATAAAATTGTTTTTGATTTGCCGCAAAAAGACGTTACAAAATTTTCGTCATTAACCCGGTTTTTTCTCCATTTATTTTATTAATACTCACCCTATTATT